TTAATGTTTTAGCTGTAGTCGATTTTGTTTTATTTTTTACTTTCTAGCTGCTTTTCTGTTTTGTTTTATTGCACTTATGGCTTTATTGCTAGGAAGATAGATAGGTTCTGCTTTTGTTAACCATTACTGTTTTGTTCATATACAGTTAGCCTTACAAGAGGAGAAGTTAAGACTAGAAGAGGAGGCTTTATATGCTGCACAACGTGAAGCAGCCAGGGCAGCAAAGCAGAAAAAGCTCTTGGAGGTGAGGGGAAAAAAAGACCCCAATATATATATATATATATATCTCAGAGCCTCTGTTCTCTTCCCATGTATGCAGTATTCCCTAATAAATATCCTTCCCCATCTCAGGAAAACTAACGAGGAAATGGCTTTGGCCTGTAAAGTAGAGAAAGAAATGCAAGGTTTGAAAGTACAGCTGGTTGGAGCAGCTGAAAATCACCAGAATTGTTTTTGAAACAGCTTCTGCCGCCGAGTATAGATTTGGAATGGGTTACAACTTTAATCTATAATTATCTTCACACACTCCTTACATAATATGTAGAAGTCACTGATCTTAAATGCAAAACGATCTCTGATGGTTTTCTGGTTTTAAAAAAACACCCCTGAAGTTAAGCACGTGTTGTACCATTTAGACTTGTAAAAATGCACTTTATATATTTGTGCACTTCATTGTCCCTGATCTCCGTGGTTTGTGTTGACCCTGCTTTAGAGTTTTCATCTAATATTTATGTCACTAAGTATGGCTCTCATTTCACATTTCTATGTCTCTCCTCTTGCCATTTGGTGTGGGAGGGTTAATTCTTTCTTTCTGACCTTTTTGCCTGCCTTTTTTTTTTTTTTTTTTTTGATAACACTTTTGGTCTATATAAAGCCAGCAGAAGTAGATTTTTTTTCTTTACTGGCATTAACTGGTTTTTGTAGAAGTTCTGTGCAAGAAATGCTATTTTTCTTGTCTTTCACTATTTTTAAGATACGCTTCTTTTAGTCAGGACCTCAGATAGAAGGGATTATAGAGATTTTAATTTCCTCTTCGTGTAAAATTAGTACCACTTATCTCCTGAACCAAAAAGCCATCAGGATTATGTGGATTTCTGAGGAAGCATTTTTGTATAGATACCCATCAAGCACTTAGCCCTTCTAGATAAACCAGCAGCTATTTTTGAATGCATCACTCATCTCTCTGCTGTTTGTGGGCACAAATGGGAAAGTGGCTTCTTCCTTGGAAGTCTGGCCTCCTTTAAAACTCATTTGGCTTGCTGATGGTGCCCTACTAAATGTCAGGGTTTGTAACAGCAGGGAATGTTAATATATGTGTGTCCTGGAACTGGCAGTGCTGGATATTGGCACGTGACCTGGCAAAATGGGGAGATAATTTAAATTGGATGTTATGTGGGTATATAAATCCTATAAGAAAACTGTTGCATGTGTCAGTAATCGATTTTGACAGACTTGTTGGCTGTGTTGGTGCCAAATTTCTGTCTCTCTCTCCATGTCTTCCCACCTAAACCCCACCATAATGTGACATTTCTACTTCTATGCTTATCGTTTCCGTACTGGTTTCAATCTGCAATTGTTATTATTACTTAAATATCCAAGATGGAAAGTGTGCTAAAACCCAAAGCTACCATCATCTTGGGACTGAAAAAATACCATATCCAGTGCAGTTATCTCACCACACTATTTACCCAGGAAAGAGCAAGTCTTAGATGGAGCTGACATTAAAAATTCTGGTTCCTTTACCCCTGCTTTTCTTCGGCAGGGACAGATCCATTAAGGCTGAGAATAGATTTTTCAGTCACTAGATACATCAGACTTGTCTCTAAAACTAGCACATTCAGTTTTACCATAATCTTTGTCCTAATCACTGAACACTTACTGTTTCTTAAGTGATTTACCTTGAGTCTGAGGGTTTCTGTGCCTGCTTTTTATGCTCCCCCTGTTTTTTCAAGGCAGGAAAAAAGAAACTTGAGACAACTTCAGTTGTTTAAACCCCCCCAAAACTTAAACAGAACCCTACTTCCATGTCTGTTGTTCCTCTAGTAACTTAAAAATAAAGGCCTTGATGGCCTGTCTTGCATTTTTCATTCTGGTTTTGCCCAGTGGATGCCATGAAAGCTTTAAGAGTGCCGAGTTATTAATCCTTCTGGCCCAGCAAGGCAGCAAAGCTGTTATTAATATGGATGAGGCACTTAGTGCTGAGGAAATGGGATGAAAGGATTTGTAGGGAATATTTCTCTTTAATAGAGGTAGAGTGACTATCAGACATCACCCAGGTGTCAGCTGTGAGCTGAAAATACCTGGGGCTTAAGGAGAGAAGACAAGAGGGGAAAAAAAAAAAAAGACAGGTGCAGTCATGACTGAGGGGGTTCTAAAACTGATGTTTGGGGGTTTTTTTTTGGGGGGGATGCATTTAAAACAGGTTTCTTGAGAGCTCTGTTTTGAGTGTGTAACTCCTGAGTGATTGCATTCAGCTTTTTCAACAATGTACTTCTCTTGATAGCAACGTAGGCAGCAAAGGATAACTCAGAGAGCACATGCTGTAAATAATGGAGAGTTTCAGAGGTAAGAGATCCCATTTTATTCATGATAATTCAGAACCTTGACTGTTTCTACTCCTCCCCTTCATCTGCAAAGTTAAGAGGGGAGTTTGCATCCATTCTGGTTTTCACTGGAGTTATTTAAAACTGAACCTGCTCCCAGCTACTGATACATATATGCCCACAAAATCTAGTACTTTGTATTAAAAAGGTGTTTATATGTGAAGTCTCAGCTAATATAAAAATCTTTTATTGTTCAGAACCCTGCTGGAAATACCCAGTAGAGATACACTAATTGAATGGTTTATGCAGTCTGCCTGTTTCTTCGTTAATATTATTAATTTAATCCTCTTCACTGACACCTTCTGTGTTCGATGTTGGGGTGGGGGGAAAAACCAACCAACCAACCAACCAACAAAAAAAACCTCAGAAAAATTTCCTGTGGGACGGTGCTCCAGTTTAATTAAAAAAAATGTTAAAATCCAGCACCTGTTTTTACATGGAAGAGAAGGGGGCTAGAAAGGGTTTTCACTTAGGGAAGTGCAGTTAGAAAAGGAGCTGGGAAAACTGAGGTTTTATGGTGTGAGTAGGAACTAGCCAGATTTTAAAACCAAAGGACTGGAGGAGCAGGATTCGGATTAATGAGTTAAAAAATGAATTGAAAATTAGGGAGATTTTTACCTACAGTGACGAAGAGAGGGGAGGAGTTTTTGAGACGAAAGTTAATTCATTTTTAACTGAAAATAGTACAAAAAATTGAGCAGAAGCACAGGCTGGGAGAGGATGTGATGAATAAGAACAGAAAAGCATTTTCTAGATCATTTTATAAAGAATTTAGTTCGAGGTGTATGTGCTTTGTAGCACAGAGCTGGGGGGCACGTAGATTGACATTTTTTAGGGCATGCTTAGAGGTTCAGACAGCTAAAGAACTGTGCATTGTTCTTCCAGCTCTGTGGCAGAGGAAGATCTCGATCCTTTCTTAAGGAACACAAAATTCCAGTACGAAGCTTTTCGAAGCAGCAGTAAGTCTTCCCTTTCTTATGCCTGCCTTAAAATACTCTGAGGAGGACAGAGTGCTGTTTCTTTTCCTAGATAAACGTAATTTATTTTTTTATGTATAAATTGTGTATGCACAGATCTGTATTAAAAAAAATCTGACAGGTCTTTTTTATCTGATGGATGGAAAATAGAGGTGAACTTTCCTTGTCAAACCTGTGTATTATTAAAGATGCAGATGTGTGTTTGTAGCTTTTTTTTAAACCATCTCTTGGCAAAGGAGTTAGAATCATAATAATGGTTAGTTTTTTTTCCTAATGCAGCACAAGAGGGAATTTGGTTGCCTGTATTTAAAAATTCCACTAACAGTTCAGAGGAAAGCTATTTTATAAACTTTTATCCCCAAATTGTGATGACAGTACAACAATCACTAAGAAATTGGAGGAGTGATGGCAATTCTTGGGGAAAACATATGCCAGTAGTTTGTTTTTCTGGGGGGGAGAGGGTTGATTTTTGGGGGTTTTTTTACAGGTCTTCATACAAGTCCAGCTTACATCTTATTAAATTCCTCTCTGGTTCTAATTAGATAATCTCCTAGTGAAGATGACTATTAAAAATCTACTGATGATGCTTTGAAGTGAAGTGCCTTTTCCAACGTTCCTGAGGTTTACAGGGCTGCAAAGCACAATAAAAAGCTTAATTTAATGGTCTACTTTTGCATATTGAACTTCGAATTCAAGTAGAATTATTGATTAAAAAGACATTTTTATTTGTTTTCCGTAGGGCTTTCCTCTGATGCCACAGTGCTGACACCCAACACAGAGAGCAGCTGTGACTTAATGACCAAAACCAAGTCAGTGAGTGGGAACGACGACAGCACCTCCTTAGATTTAGAGTGGGAAGATGAAGAAGGTATTTATGACTTCAGTTTCATTCTGAGTGGATAAGTTACAAACCTTGACAGTTTAAACTGTGTCGGTGGTAAATCTGTGGTTTTTCAAAGGGGAGGGTGATTTAAAACTTAATGCAATTTCTGGCCCAGTCTGGAATGGTTAAACTGTGAATTGTTTTTACCGAGAGAATTCCTTATTTTGATAAATGTGGACGTAGCCCCAGTAAATAAATGAATTTATTTGGGTCCTTTAGTATCCCAACAGAACAAATGGCAGAGAAATGCTGCCCTCTGGCGAGTCAGGAGCAGAAGGAACAGTTTATTCTTTTAAAATGTGGAAGTTGGTCAGGAGTCTTGGCTGAACTATTTTGGGAAAAACCCCAATTACTTTTACTGTAACTTTTACTGGGAACTCAGATCTATATTCTAGGGAATATCCCAGCTGTCCTCACTGCTGCTGCTGTGTGTTACAGGTGCTTTCTGTTTTATTTAGTAAACCTGCAAAAGCTCTTGTCGTGTTCCCAAGTTTATCCAAAATTTTGAGACCTCGACTCCTGAAAAGCTCACCAAAAATCAGGATTTCTTTTAGCCAGTGCATAGCTAATTTTTTATTTATTTTTTTTTGCTTTAATATACTGTTTCTGCCAATCTTTGTGTAGGTTAAATGTTTAGCACTGTATATTATACTATTATTTAGCTGCTTGGAGAGACCCGTGGAACATGAACATAAAATCTGTAACTGGAGTCTGATGAAGGGAAAAATTTATCTCTTGGATATTTTTTTTTTCCTGTGCCCCCCTCCCCCAAAAGTTGTGGGTTTCAGCTGCAATATGTAACCTTTTTAATAATAATTAGTTACTCCAGATTTAAAAGGAGAGTTTAATTAGGAATGTACAAGGATTGCAGTGAACAAGGGGAGGATTTAGGGTGGTTTTTAATAGAATCTTGGATGTCTTTGGGCACTACTGAGAGCAACACTTTGCCTTATTTTGTGTGAAATTAAATACACACACATCTGAAATAAGCTCCAGACTAACTGAAGACCTTTCCTAGACCCATGAATCCAAATTTTAGCCGGGTTGTTCTTTCTAGCAGGAACATAAAGGTAATTCCCTCAAAACGATGTTTCACGCAAACGTGCCTTAAATCCCAGGGATGAACAGGATGATCCCGATGAGGGAACGCTCCAAGACGGAGGAAGACATCCTCAGGGCAGCCCTGAAATTCAACAGCAGGAAGACAGGGAGCCACCCAGCCTCGGCCTCCGACGATTCCAACGGCTTGGAGTGGGAGAACGACTTTGTCAGCGCCGAGATGGACGACAACGGCAACTCCGAGTACGCCGGCTTCGTCAACCCCGTCTTGGAACTGTCGGCGTCGGACGTGAGGCTCTCGGATTCCGACCCCCAGGACAGATAGTGACACTGCACTCTGCTCTGTCCAAATGTGACCAAAGGTCACATCTGTGACCAAATGTTGGAAAGGGAAGGAGAATGTACAAAGCCACTCTGCTCTTTTGTAACCCGCTTCCCTTTTTCTTACCCGTGGATCAGCAAAGGAACGGGAATGACTTGCTGTCTGAATGGGTTCAGAATTAAGTGCAATTTTATCACCTACCTTCTCGACTTTTGTGAAAACTGGGATGGCTCTGTTGTGTATATTTCTGGGTATCTGGATTTAATATAAAATTATCTGCACTAATTGAAGCTTCGTGGCTTGACATATCTGTATATTTTAACTTGCCTTTTTTTTTTTTTTTTCCTCTTGGTGTTTATACTGATTTTTGTTTTTAAAATTCATCACTGGCCTAATATTTATGTCAGAAAGTCTTATATAATTTATGTAATACTTGAATATAGAAAAATAATTTAAAAGAATTTTTTTATTTCCGGTCTGTGCTTTTTGACTTGCTCTTCAGCTGTTTTAGAGGGCGCAGCAAGAGCTGCAAAACAAATCTGACACGTGGCAATTTGCAGACTTTTCCCTGTCAAGCTTAAAAGTCTTCCTAGCCTTGTGTTGTCCTTTTCCCATTAATTTTATTTTTTTTTTTAAATTATTTTATGCTAAGCACGGTTAACCTCAATGAACATAGTAAAAATCATCAGGGTAGGTAAGATATTGTCTTGTATAATATGCCAGACTTCAGTAAGCGTGTGCTAGGTAGAAAAATGAAAATAAAATTAAAATATAAATTCTTCATGTGTCAATAAACTGGCAAATTTTAACCAGTATCTAGTAGAGAACTGGGAGGACCAAAGTCTTGATTTCCCTGCCCCTCCCCTGCAGACCAACATCTGTTGCTGCAGGGTCCTTAAAATTCTTTAGTTGTGGAAAATTTATAATTCAACTGGACTGGAACAATTATTGGAATCGACACTCTGTGAGCAAACTGGGGGAGGGATGAGAAGAAGGAGGACCTAAAGACTGAATTTCTCTCTCTGCATTTTAAAAAGAAAAGAAAAAAGTTGATGTTTTAACAGTGTGTTTAAGTGCTCTGCCTTTCCTGTGCCTCTAAACTGGATGGTCAATCCTGCAAATACGGGCTGAAATTCAAGGAGGTCTCAGTGACTGCACATCTGGTGTCAAGTGCTGTGTGGTCTCCCCTGATATTTCAAGTTATACTTTTAAAAAAAAAAAAAAAAAAGATGATTTGTAGATCTCAAGCTTTCCCCAAAGTTTCAAAGTAAAGCCATTCTACTCTGCTGTTATTTTGTGTTTTGCTGTTTTGTTTTTCCATGGAGAAAAAGAGGGCAATGGGGGTGTAACTTCACTGTAGTGGAGCAGAAGGAACACGCTTTGAGAAGTAATAAACCACCACCACCATCATCATCATCACTGAATTTGTCGGTGAAAGTTGTGGCGCCGGTTTAAATCATCTGAGACTACACAGAATATTTGGGACATTACAGGGAACTGCACACTTGGATTAAATACATACAGACAACATGAAAGAACAGAGAAATCCTGCTGGTGACATTCCACCTCTTGATTTCAGTCTCTGAAAACACTTTAATGTTGTTATTTACGTTCGCGATGCCTGTAAAACGAGCTTTAAAAGTTTGTACACACCGACTGTATATTTTGGGTTTGGCGTAAGCTACTGCCATGTGACTTCTCCTGGACAATTATTTGTATAATATATTCCTGCTGGGAACGAAGGCAACTTCCTCAACATGTAAATAACACATTTTTTTTTTACCTGCTGAAGCTGTCGCCTCCTCTGCGCTGGTCACTCCTTTCCCTGGCCACGAGTGACCACGAGCCTTGCCCTGCCCATGCCTTGAGGAAGTCCATTAGCTGACAGTCCTGCTCTTAGGGTGAACAGTGACCTAGGAAAAAGAAAGCAGCTTTTTCTGTGATGGGCATGTTCTGCAGCCAGGGTTAATAACATTTTCAGAGCTCGGTGCACCTTTGGTGCTGAGCGACTTTGGAAACGATGCTCGGTGTTTGTGGATATGGAGAGATTCTATGAGCAGCTCACTGTAGAATAAAGATCTGTACAAATTTAAAAGTCATTAAAATTTTCACTCAGTCTTAATGCTTGGCAGTGTGCTGTCTGTTGCTGGGTTTTTTGGGCTGCCAAAAAAAAAAAAAAAAAAGGAAAAAAAGCACCGTGTGAAGGCGAATTGTTAAAACATTAACCAAAATTACCTGTGCATCAGCTCACTAAGGAAGGTTTTAAGAAATGATGGGCTGTGTCCTTAACTCCTGAATCCCACAGCATCCCTTCTGTTTTGGAAGGGAAGCTCCAACCAAGTGGCAGTAACAGAGAACCTGAGGAGTTTTGGAGCGTGGAGCCCTTCTCCTGTTGGAAATGAGCAGCTGTACCCTCATACTTCAAAGGTAAAATAACATTCCTTGTTTAAAATAACTTCTGCTGGTCACATCAACATAGTGATAGGATTCATTTTTTAATGCATGTTTTAGATGGCTAATTCTTAACCCAAGTAAATATAGTTGTAGAAATTACTGTTGCTTGGAAACCAGTAAATAGCTGGGGATTTGTTTCCATGCCAAAGGTGTTCTCCTTGTTCCTGGAGATGTGCCTAAGGAATGCTCTGCTCTGGCTCCAAATCTGCTGAGGCTCAGTGCTCTGAACTGTGCAGACCAGGCAGAAGATTCTTCTCAGGTTAAGTGCTGTTTGTAGATGCTTCTGTTTATATATTGCCCTGAGAATTTCAGGTTGGGGTTGTCACTCCTTGTTTAGGTAACAGCCCAAAAATGGTGAGCAATTAATATGATCAGTGCCATGGGTTGATGTCCTGTGTGACAGAGCCAGTGAACAGAAACTGGATAACACCACTTAACCATACTATGAGCAACCTGTCTTTTAAGCCCAGAGAAGTACAAAAGGAGGACTGTAAAAATTAAGTATGACCACAGCCTAGTTCCAAGAGTGGAAAAGATGGGAACAAGGTGTTTTTTGGCAAGGATGAGATGAACAGGCAAATCCTACATAAGCCTGTGTTTGAGTTTCGTTGCCTCTCCCATAAACTTTTTCTCGCTTGTGGTTGGTTGCCTTAATCTCAGCTGTTCCTCCTCTCAGCTATAATTATGGTTTTCTTGGAATGATTAATGCTGGAATGCATCCTAATATTTAGGGATGATAAGATGGGTAACTCCTATGTATGATCTCATTCTTTCCAGCGTGTCTTTCAAGCAAACTAAAATACTTGGGGGGGGGAGGGGGGGGTAAAGTGCCAATGAAAAGCTGAGCCCCTGACAAAGCAAAACTTCACTGAAACAACATGAAAAACACTTAGAAATATTTGGGGGGGGGGAGGTAGTAGAGGTAGGAAACTAGTGACTCTTACCTTGGTGCAATGGCACTTTTGGAAAGCCCAGAACAGTGCCAGTGAAAATTTCTTTTTCTGGAAATAATTTTACTCCCCATAAATTCCTTTTAGATCGTAGTTGTAAAAGACAGCAAATCCTTACTAGGCAACCAAATGCTTTTTATTAAGAAATTTACCTGGGTTTTTATGTACTGTGATCACTGTCGCTGCACGTTTGTTTACATCACAAGCAAAAGCAGTTAACTTGCAAAAAAACACAGATTTGATTTCATTTTAAAAAAACGAGAGAGAGAAAAAAATCTTGCCGTGAAGTTAATAAAAACATAAACTCAAAAGGACCTTGCTGACAAAGTGTTTCTAGGTTGCAAAATCCGGGAAGTTACAACCTAGGCTTGCAAATACTGTTTGGAATTCCATGCCAAAAGCAAAGTACAACAAATGCAGTGAGGAATTATGTCCCTCCTTAGCTGGGGGACAACAAACCACGTTGTGCATGCTCTGTGTTAATAGTGCCTGTTAAACATCCCTTCAAGGCACGTGATCACAGTTCTGGAATGGAACCTGCTGCCCTGGATTTGAGTGGCCCCCTGTCTCCCCCAGGCAAACTGGTGATCAGAGAGCACTTATGGCCCTGTGAAGGCAGTGCCAGGAATCTGTTCTTGTCTGGAACAAAGCATGTTCCCGAATGCCCGTGCTGAAAACACCAAGTAAGAAGGGCTGATGTGCAGGGGTGAGAACCACCAAGAATACTGGACTGAGGTGACAGCCTTCCATGCTGGAAGCTGTGCAGGCTGCAAAATCTGATCCAGCCTCCTCCACCCTGCTAGCACGGCTCGTTTTCATCCATCTCTGTGGGGCTTTTGTCTTGGCAAAGAAAAATGGAAGAAGAAATGCCACTCTCGGGTACCGGCTGCAGGGAGGGCAGGGATGGCAGGGATCTTTCCTGTAAGATTGGCACTTCAGCCAAGTGCAGGTGAGTCTCAAAATAATCCACGGACTCCCCTTCCTGGATCTCTGCCAAGATCTGGTAGTCCCCAAAACAAACGACGCACCTCCAGGGCAGGTCGACTTTGTTCAGGTAACCCAGTTCCGTCTGGTTCACGGTCAGTTTTGTCCTCTTGCTCAAGTTCTTGATCTCGAAGCAGCATTCCGAGCTGTGGAGCTTCCTGTAGAACTGCAGGGAAAACTGGATCCGGGAGACACGAGCGTCCATCAGGCTGTAACGGCAGGCGCTGGAATCGCGGCCGAACTTGGCCGCTTCGTCCGCCCTGACCTGCTCTCGCTCGCCGAAGTTCAGGCAGCGGAACATCATCTTCTCCCCTTGGCAAGGGTGGTAAAAGGTCATGTGGAGGCACGGCACCGTTTCTTCCGTCTCGGCGTCTTCAAAGGAGCTCATGATGAAAAGAGTTCCTTGGAGAACAAGAGAGAGGTAAAAGAATCACCAGCACGAAATCACCGCGGAGCCAAACAAATTGGGCTCGGTGTGGCATTAAAACACTTCGTGTGCTATTGTGTAGCAGCTGGATAGAATTTATAGCAAATTGGCTGACAGTAAATGTGATGAAAGCACCGGAGCAAAAAAATGAGAGGTCAGAGCTCTGAGAAGCACCCGTGACTGACCGCTGCTGCCAACAAGCTCTTCGTGAGGATCTCACAGGTAGATTTATCTTTGCAAGAAATATGTCATTTAGGAGTAAGATTTACTTTATGGGCTTAAAATGGAGCAGTAAAATGGAGCAGGTAGTGTCTGTGCCTCTGTGCTCTGCTCTTGTTGCAGTCCTGTGACTAGAAGGTATCAAATTACTTTTACCACCAGTCTGTCTGTAGGCAGTAATAATTCAAATATGTACAAAGCAACTCCTTTGGCTCTTGGGTCAGAATTTACCTCTTGCATGAAACAAAACAGTGTTTAGAACTGACTGCTCTGACAGTGTGTAAAGTGAATGCAACAGCTGGAGTATTCTCTAGACCTAAATGAGGAATTGTCACCAGCTCAAGGCATTTCCCCGTTGCCTGTTGGCAAATCCCAGCTATCTGATGCAGAACTAAAAATAAGTAACTTTTCTTGGCTTTGGTTGGTTTTGTGTGTGTTCTTTTAAGCATCTCACGTGCAGCACAGAGATGCCTGATTATGAATTAAATTCTGTTTCAAAGTCTCAGCGACTGCAGTGCATCCTAATAAAATCTGGGGCACCTAAGGGAACACTGTGATCTGTTCCCCCACAAATGCAAGGCCAGTGTCTTCCTGCACTGAAACGGAGACTAAAGAAAGAAAAGTCTTGGCACTTTAAGTAGGAACAAGAGAATGAGTTCCCAGTTACTCACCAGCGAAACATGTGAGCAGCCCTTTAACTGGTTTCATACAGTGCAGATGTTTGTCGCGTTTCTCCTGCTGGATTGCAATGAGTTCCCAACGTGTCTTAACGCAGATCTTGAGCTCTCTCAGTGCTTACAATTTAATCTGGGGGTTTTTATGAGTAGGTGATTCACCACTGCAATTAAATGATGATTTGTGTTTTGTGATGATGGAGTTGACCTGTGTTTTTGAAGGCTCATAAACACCAAGCACAGTGAATGGCGGTGTGTCAGTGCCTCATTTTCTGTGTGAAAGCTCAAAACCACTTCCTTCTCCCACCTTTAATACAAAACCAGCAGCAGTTCTGACACTCAGAGTAGCTCAGCTTCCTTACTGAAGTAGACTACAGCAGTGCAGATGATGAGAGGAACAGAAAATTTCAAGCAGAGCTCACGTTAAAACGAACTAGGAAATGTCATCTGTGCTTTTGGCAGGAATACAGAGAGACACCCTGATAGCAGGTTATTCCTTTGCCATCTGTGAGACAAGCTGTGGTGGCACCAGCATCCATCCTTCCTCCTGGTAGATTCCTCAGCTCCGGAATGCTGGAAGCAGCTCTGTGAGCAGCAGGGACTGTGTCTGTGTCTAATTCTGCCCTTTCCTGTTTTGCACCAATAAGGGGATATTATATGAGGTCATTTCTGGTAAAAGGGGAAAACCACCAAGTCCTTTTCACTTAGTTCTTAGATCAGCCCACAGAGACAGTTTTCTGCCTCGAGACTTGGGCTGAATTTGATACCAACTTAAAAGCACGTTCTGCTTCAGCTATCATCTTTGTTACTTGGTTTCTGAAACACACCGGGAGTAGGCAAAACACGGGAACAGAAAGACACATTTTGAGAAATCTGATGTGTACACAGATCAGCGCATAACACCGGCTTTACTCACCTGTTAATGATGAATTTTACAAATGGCTACATTTATTACGCAAGACCAGCCACCAGTTGCTCCAGCAGCACCCACAGACCCTGCTATCTATCTATCTATCTATCTATCTATCTATCTATCTATCTATCTATCTATCTATCTATCTACCTATCTATCTACCTCAGGCATCTCCACCCCAGCTGGCCCCGTCCTGCCCTAAAGGTTTATCGAGATTGAACATAACCTAACATACTACAACGTAATTGCTGAAGGAGGTTTTACTTACTGGAGCGTTTTGGACAGAAGTAAACTTTCTCCAGTCGAATCCGGGGGCTTCTCCCACAGCTCTTCTCCCCGCTGTTCTCCCTCCGCACCTTCGTTCGAGACAAACAAACCGTGATCTCATCTCATCCCATCCTGTCCCGCGGTGAAGCGCCACCATCCCCGTTTCCCGAGGCAGGAGAACGACGCGGAGCACTAAAGCGCACGGACTCCCGGAGCAGGGGGCTCGGTGCCGCC